TCTTCTGAGGGTTATCAGTCTGTACCCTACTTCCACGTCTCTGGGTCTACCCTATTCCTCAGACTGTTATGTTCATTGTATTCCACAAATAAGTGAGATCATGTGGTATTTGTCTTTTCTGCTTGGCTTGTTTCACTTAGGGTAATACTTTCCAGGTCCCTCCATGTTGTCTCAAAGGATAAGAGATCATTCTTTCTTACAGCTGCATAGTACTCCATTGTGTATATGTACCACTGCTTTTTTATCCAATCATCCACTGATGGACACTTGGGCTGTTTCCAGATCTTAGCTATTGCAAATAGTGCTGCTATGAACATGGGGGTACATATATTCTTTCTGATTGGTGTTTCAGGCTTCTTTTTTTTCCTTTTTGTTATTAATTTATTAATTTATTTTTGTTACAAATGTCCCCCCCCCCCCAATTCCCCGCTCCCCATCTCTCCCTGCCTCGTCCCCAGCTTTGTCCATGTCCATTGTTCATGCACACATGCATATAAGTTCTGTGGTTTATCTCTTCCCCACAACCCCCTCTTCTGGGGATTGTCAGTCTGTATCCCACTTACATGTCTCTGGTGCCAACTTATTCCTCAGATTGTTATGCTCATTATATTCCACAAATAAGTGAGATCATATGATACTTGTCTTTCTCTGTTTGGCTTGTTTTGCTTAGTATAATACTTTCCAGGTCCCTCCATATCATCTCAAAGGATAAGAGATCTCTCTTTCTTATAGCTGGATAGTACTCCATTGTGTATATGTACCACAGCTTTTTTATCCATTTGTCTATTGATGGACACTTGGGCTGTTTCCAGATCTTAGCTATTGTAAATAGTGCTGCTACGAACATGGGGGTACATATATTCTTTCTGATTGGTGTTTCAGGCTTCTTAGGGTATATTCCTAGAAGTGGGATCACTGGGTCAAATAGAAGTTCAATTTTTAATCCTCATCCGAGGACATTTTTCCATTTTTTTTTTTTTCTTGTACAGACAATGTGGGAGGGAGAGAGAGGAAGAGAGAGAGAGGGAAACATCGATGTGAAAGGGACACATCGAGTGACTGCCACTCGCACGACCAACCAGGGCCAGGGACAAACTGCAACCGAGGTACATGCCCTTAGTGGGAACTGAACCCGGGTCTCTCCGGACCGCAGGCGGATGCTCTAACCGCTGAGCCAAACTGGCCAGGGCGGAAGTTCAATTTTTAATTTTTCGAGGTAACACCATATTGTTCTCCATAGTAGCTGCACCAGTCTGCATTCCCACCAGCAGTGTATTAGAGTCCCCTTTTCTCCACACCCTCTCCAACACTTGTTGTTTGATGATTTGTTGATGGCGGCCCTTCTGACAGGTGTGAGGTGATACCTCATTGTTGTTTTAATTTGCATCTCTCTGATGATTAGTGATGTTGAGCATTTCTTCATATGTCTCTTGGCCATTTGTATGTCCTGTTTGGAGAGGTGTCTATTCAGCTCCTACGCCCATTTTTTAATTGAGTTCTTTGTCTTCCTTTTGTTGAGTTGTACGGGCACTCTCTATATATTGGAAATTAACCCCTTATCTGATATATCATGGGCAATGATGCTCTCCTATATAGTGGGTTTCCTTTCCATTTTATTTTTTATCCTCACCCGAGGATATTTTTCCATTTTTTGTACAGATAGAGTGGGAGGGAGAGAGAGGAAGGGAGAGAGAGAGAAACATCGACGTGAAGGGACACATCGAGTGGCTGCTACCCGCACGACCAACCAGGACCGGGGACAAACTGCAACCGAAGTACGTGCCCTTAGCGGGAACTGAACCCGGGTCTCTCCGGACCGCAGGCCGACACTCTAACCGCTGAGCCAAACCGGCCAGGGCTCCTTTCCATTTTAATGATTGTATCTTTTGCTGTGCAGAAGCTTGTTAGTTATTTAGTCCCATGTGTTCATTTTTTCCTTTGTTTCTGTTGCCTTAGGTGGTGTATCAGTGACAATTCTGCTGTGTATGATGTCCAAAATTTTGTTGCCTACATTTTCTTCTAGGATTTTTATGAATTCACGGGTCACATTGAAGTCTTTTATTCATTTTGAGATTATTATTGTGTATGGTGTAAGTTGATGGTCTAGTTTCATTTTTTTGCATGTAGCTGTCCAATTTTCCCAACACCATTTATTAAAGAGGCTGTCTTTACTTCATTGTATGCTCTTGCCTCCTTTGTCAAATATTAATTGAGCATAATGACTTGGGTCTATTTCTGGGTTCTCTGTTCTGTTCCACTGGTCTATATGCCTGTTCTTGTACCAGTACCAGGCTGTTTTGATTACAGTGTCTTTGTTGTATAATCTGATATCTGGTATTGTGATCCCCCCTACTTTGTCTTTTTTTTTTTTCAAGATTGCTGTGGCTATTTGGGGTCTTTTTTGGTTCCATATGAACTTTTGAAGTACAGTGATACCTCGGTTCTCGAACATAATTCGTTCCAGGAGGACGGTCGAGAACCAAATTGTTCGAGAACCGAAGCAATGAAACCCAATAGGAAATAATGGAAACTGGATTAATTCGTTCCAAGCCCCAGAAAATGCCTATTTACTGGCCTAATTTGTATATAATATGTAGAAAAACATAAGTCTCAACAAGAAATAAAAGTGTACAGTATGTCTAAGGGTTAAATTCAGTGTAAAGCGTGACTCTCTCCACAAAGCGTGACTCTCTCCACAAAGCGTGACTCTCTCTCTGCACTCACACTGATGACGCAAGCAAGGCGCGCTGGGCCGAATGAACGCCATTCGGCTCAACTCGGCTCATCTCGGAAGTTCGAGTTCCAAATATTTGTTCGGATTCCAAGACAAAAGTTTCTCGAATCTCCTGGTCGAATACCGATTTGGTCGAAATCCGAGGCGTTCGAGAACCGAGGTATCACTGTATTAGTTATAGTTCTGTGAAATACATCATTGGTATTTTAATGGGGATTGCATTGAATCTATAGATTACTTTGGGCAATATGGACATTTTAATAATGTTAATTCTTGCAATCCATGAACAAGGTATGTGCTACAACTTTTTTATATCTTCCTCTATTTCTTTTTTTAATGTCCTGTAGTTTTCTGCAAGTAGGTCCTTTACTTCTTTGGTTAAGTTTATTCCTAGGTATCTTAATTTTTTTGCCACGATAGTAAATGGAATTGTTTTTTCAGTTTCTCATCATTGGTGTATAAGAATGCCATCGATTTCTTAACATTAATTTTGTATCCTGCTACTTTGCCAAATTCATTTATTACGTCTAGTAGATTTTTGATGGAGTCTTTAGGGTTTTCTATGTATAATATCATGTCATCTGCAAATAATGACAGTTTGTGAATGTTTTTCTTGTTCATTGGTTCTCTTTTACTCTGGAACACGTCATCCCAAAGTATCTCCATGTCTGCCCTCTGCTGCCACCATCCTGTTGCCATTACTTCCACCTTTCTTTCTTTTCCTTTGCATTCTGGGTCCTTATCTTAGGCCCATCTTTCACTTCTCAAACTTGGTTTGCTGCTGAGTTCCTGCTTTTAAATAGTCCATGTTTTCCTCTTGTATTTCTTCTCTTTACTTATTATATTGTGTTATCTTCGTTTTCAAATATCCTCCTTGATATTTTTTCCTTCATCTCTTCTTTAATTTTTTTGAGGCTGTAAAAAAGTTGTTCTCCAACATTTCCTTCAGTTCTAAACATGCCTTTTATTCAAAGTATATTTTTCACCTCTCTTTTTTGCATCACAGTTTTTTCTTCCTCTTCCTCCTCTTCTTTTTTTTTTTTTTGCATAAATTTTATGATAATTTCCCCCTCTGCCACTTTTATGAATGGGCACAGTTCTTTTTGCTTGTTATTTACCTATCTATGAATTGGGAGATGAATTTACCTGGATTATCTTCTCTGATCATCTGGCACTATTTGATTCCTCCCATCAGTCCTTGACACAGAGGGCTGGGTTTTTGATTATTTGTATTCTTTGCTCAGTTATTCTGCTTCTTGTGGTGATGGGGTGAGGGGACTAGGGCAGCAGGCAGCGGCAAATAGAATATCAGGTCTCCAGGCACTTGCCCTCCAGCTCTGTTGACTGCTCTGAACTTGAGGGACAGCCCAACAAGCCTCTGAGAATGGCCCCTTCATGCATAGGACATGATCCTATTTGCAGGATTCTGGACTTCAAGGATGGCCCTGTATCATGGTCTTGCATCTGCCCTCAGACGAGGTGACTAACTGTGATCTTAGTTGTATCTCCAGCAAGGGAAAGTGGAATTAGGAATTTTTATCCCAACTGTAGTTGGAGACCCTTCACATGCTTTCAATGGGAACTAACTGCTAAGTGTGTATGTTGGTCAACCCCTCCCTCTGCCTTCTTCACAATCTTCCCTCATACCCAGTGCAGCTTCCTAGTTTCAGCACTGACTACCAGACCCTTGTAGCCAAGACATAATAGGGCTGTGGGGAGTGGGTCCAATTGGGAGCTCCAGGGCCTGATGAACCTCTGGGAACCACAGCTACCCATAGAAGCAGGAGCAGGGCAGGTGATACAGAGGGAGCCATGGGGGCAACAGGGACATGGGTCAGAGTCAGGATCCGGTGTTTGAGCTGTGGGGAGAAGACAAGGATAGGACAAGAGCTGGGGTAGCAGCCTCACTGAAGTGGGGGCTGGATCCGGGGCAGTGGTCCGAATTAGGGACTGCATTGGGTTTTTATTTCTACCAATTACTACCAATTCCTTAACCTCATGTGTAATTTAGGACAACCAATTTAGAAGACTTATGAGGATTAAATAAAATAATACTTGTGAAGCACTTAGCTTATACTTTAGCCCAGTAAATGTTCTAAAAAAAAAAAAAAAAGCGAGGATATAAAAGAAAAAGTGAGGAACTAGTTTTGTTGGGAGCAAATGCTTCAGTTTGGGGCTGATCAGGCTGGAAAAGGTGGAGGAAACCGCGGCTAATGCCGCACCGAGGTACCGGGGACCAGAATCTTCCCTCCCACTTGTTTTCCAGGAATTCATTGTGGCACACATGGGCCCCTTTCATACCTGGATAGGTCTCAGTGAGAGCAATGGTTCCTGGAAATGGGTGGATGGAACCGACTTGGGGAACAGCTACAAGTAAGTGTCCTCGCCTCACTGCCCATAGTTTGGCCTGGGGATGGCCTCCTAGTCTTTTGCCCCAATATACCTCCACCCATCTTTAGGGACCAAATTCCCCAACCCTTTCCCCTGGAGACCCCCAAGCTCCAAGGCTACAGCCTCTGCTCCCTGAACCCTCCATGGCTGTGCTTTCCTGAGGTGGGGTTGAAGATTGCTGGGATGTGGGTGGTCAGAGTTTGAGCTCTGTTCTGCCTTCCTAGGAACTGGGATCATCGTGAGCCAAATAACTGGCAGGGGCATGAGGAGGGTGTAAACGAAGACTGTGCCGAAGTCCAGGACAATGGCCGCTGGAACGACAATTTCTGCCAGCAGGTACGACGCTGGGCATGTGAGATGAAACGGAACAACACCAGCTAGAAGCCCTGACCTCCACCCATCTCTACTGCACCCCACTCCTACCCCACTCCCAGCCTCTCTACTGTGGATTTTGAAGAAGAGAAGAATAGTCAGAAGCGTGGGGAGGGGTTGAGGGAAGATACACGAAAATGGTTTAAGAATCTCAGACCCTGGGGAGACAGATCCTGCCTCTGTCTGCTACTCACTGTGATTGTTATAATTTTCAGACTCCTCAGTGGAGTAGAAAAAGAAGAAACTGATATTTGAACCTGTGTGTGGACTATTTACTTGGAACTGGGAAATGCAGGGTGCAAAGAAGAGGAGGTTTAGAGGATGTGGAAGTAAGTTTAAGTCCTAGACAGCTTCTCCTTGGTACCCAATCCTGAGGGACATGAACCAGAGAGGAAAGGGAAGAGGCTTTTGGCAGAAGTATTGACAGAAGGCACTGCAGTTTGGGGGTGGGGGATGGAGCAGGCTGGGCTGGGCTGGGGGCAGCTGCCCATACTCTGAGGGGTTCCTGGAGGAAGCAGCTTTCTCTGCAGTTGAGATCCCCTCAAATCTAGGTTTCTGGGGCACCCCTGCTTTCCTCAGCCTGGGAGGTGTGGCGTGGTCTGGTAAAGTTTATGAGGAATGTTTGCTGAGAGAAGCAGGGTTGGGGGACACACTCTTGCACGGTTTTCAGTGTGGCTGCCTCTTTGTGACCCCAAACAGATCTAGATGTATGTGCAGCAGAGGGTGTCTGACATTTCCACAGTGTGCAAACTTCATCTTTCAAGATCATTCTAAAAGAAATCTTAGAAAGGTCTTTAAGCAATTAGATTTTTTTGTTTTATTTTTATAACAAAAGTAATATATACAATTAGTAAAAAATGTTTCATTAAATTTTTTTTGAATTGATATCAAAAAGAGGGAGGAAGGGAGAGGGAGAAAGCAACAGAAACATCGATGAGAGAGAACATCAGTAGGGTGCCTCCTGCATGCCCCCACTGGGGATTGAGCCCACAACCTTAGCATGTGCCCCAACTGGGAATCGAACCGGTGATCTCTTTGTGCATGGGTTGATGCTCAACCACTTAGCCATACTAGCTGGACTAAAAAATGTTTTTTTTAATCCTCACTGAAGGACATTTTTTCATTTTTTTGTTCAGATAGAGTGGGAGGGAGAGAGAGGAAGAGAGAAGAAGAAGAAGAGAGAGAGAGAAACATCAAGGTGAAAGGGACACACTGAGTGGCTGCCTCTCGCATGGCCCTGACCCAACCAGGATCAGGGACAAACTACAACCGAGGTACATGTCCTTATTGGGAACCAAACCTGGGTCTCTGTGGACCACAGGCCAATGCTCTAACCACTGAGCAAAACTGGCCAGGGCCCCAAAAATGTTTTAACGACACACACACACACACACACACACGCACACACACACGCACGCACGCACACACGCAGTGTCCCTCCCTCACCGCTCCCACTTCTCTCCAGACTGAACTCTTTCATGGTAAGCCTGTCCTCTGATTCCCTTGCAACTTTTCTGCAAGTCAACTTTTCTTTCCTAAATGCTTTTGTCTCAGACACTTTCACTGTTGACAATCCCAGCTTCCTTTTCCATCACCTTTTCCATGGTCTGTTACCCTCTCCCAGGAACTCAGCTGGTCAGGATTTGCTACCGGGTGGGGTGACCCAAGTTTTATTTCTATAGCATCCAAGGCTTTAGTGATCTTGTGTTTACTGAGTTATCATGTTTGGTTATTGACCAAAATATCACTGAACCTGGGAGAGGCATGTGGCATCTCAGAGAGTCTCATGGGCTTCAGGCCCAGTCCTCTCCCCCACATTGTGAAACAGCAGATCCATTCCCCTTATTAATCAGAACCAATCACCCCCACTCTCTACCTACTGTATGATGAGGAGCCCAAATCAACCAGCAGTCTCATCTTCAAATTTAAACAGATCCCTGGCTGTCTTTCCTTGGGCACTACAACTTCCCATATCCAATGATCCCAGATTGGAGGGATGAAGAGCAAAACTTCCTTGTGTGGACTTAGTTGTCGAGTGACAGGATTCAGTATCCTGCTCTGTCCCTTGGATGTAAAGAAGATGGCACCATATTGGCCACTAATGAAGATGTGTACCCACCGATAGCTCCGGCTGGAAAGGAAAGGAAAAGAATTTTAAATAAGCTATTCACCAATTTCCATAGTATTCCACTGTGAAAAAGAAGGAAATCTTACCTTTTGTGATTTTAGAGAGAAAAGAAGGGAGAGGGTGGGAGAGAGAGAAATATTGATGGAGAAGACATACATCAACTGGTTGCCTCTAGTATACACCCTGTGCGGGGATTGAACATGCAACCTGAGTATGCGACCTGACTGGGAATTGAACCTGCGACCTTTCAGTGTATGGGATGATGCTCCCATCAACTGAGCCACACCAGCAAGGGCTGTAGTGTACAATTTTATAACACATCATTTTTATATTGTATTGCGTATTGACTACCCATAGTCAAGTTTCTTTTTGTCACCATTTATCCCCTCTTTACCCTCTTCTACCTCCCGCACCCTTCTTCCCCTCTGGTAATCACCATACTGTTGTGTGTGTCCATGAGTTTGTTTTTCTTAATTTCTTCACCTTTTTCACCTACCCCCTAGCCCCCATCCCCTCTGAAAGCTGTCAATGTGTTCTCTGTATCTATGAGTCTGTTTCTAGTTTGTTTATTTTGTTCATTGCATTCCATATATAAGTGAAATCATATGGTATTTGTCCTTCTTTCACTAGCTTATTTTTCTTAGCATAATACCCTTTAGGACCGGAAATGCTTCTTCCAGTGGTACACAAAATACTCCACTTCCACCAATAACAAAAGGAAAATTCTCCAAGATTACCCGTGTTAACAAGTTTTTAATCAATCTGCTCATTCTGGCAAAACAGTACTTCTCTCACATGATTACTGCATTCACAAAATGTGATGACATATCTTTAAGCATCAGCATTGCAAAAGTCAGAAATAAGTTTATTTCCGAGGGGGTCAGCAGATTATGAATATTCTCAAAGTTTAATTTATTTTGGAGATTAGAAGAGCAAACTATTATTTTGTGAAACCTACAGAAAAGTTATCAGCAAGTTTCTCTCAAAATATCTTCACAATATATCTGGAATGTGAACACTTGTTACCACCTCTAAGCTCATACGGCCATCATCTGTCACGTGGATATTTCAATAGCTTCTTACTTGGACTCTCAGTTCCATCCTTGAGCCTTTTCATGAACTCACAATACAACTGTCCCATAGGTACAGTTAACATTTATGTCAGGTCATTTATTCCCCTGCTCCAACTCCTCCAAAGTCGGTGCCCCTAACTTGGAGTAAAACCAAATCCTCAACAAGAGCCAACAAGGTTGTGAGAATTGCTGATCTTGCCCAGCCAGTGTGGCTCAGTGGATTGATCACCATCCCATGGACTGGCAGGACCCCTGGTTTGATTCTCAGTCAGGGCACACGCCCTGGTTGCAGGCTTGGTCAAGTAGGGGATGTGCAGGAGCTGGCTGATCTATGTCTCTCTCTCACTTTGATGTTTCTATCCCTCCCTCCTTTCCTCTCTCTAAAAAAATCAATGAAAACTGTTAAAAAATAAGAATTGCTGATCCATGTTTATTTCTCTGTGACATGTTTCCTCTTCTCTCTAGCTCAGATCTCTATAAACTCTCTGGTATCTCTGGGAAATGAATGACCCTTGTACACACCAGACAGTCTCTCACTCCAGGGCCTTTGTACTTTGGCTTCTTGTGTCTGGAAAACTCTTTGTCCTGGAGCTTCTCATGACTTACTCTCTCTCCTCTTTCTGATTTTTGCTTAGATACCACATTCCCAAAAAGGCCTTTCTTGACATCCTATTCTTGATGGCGTATAAATAGTGACCCCATCTCACCTCCCTGCTATGTTTTCTTTCATAGCACTTATCACCATAGGACATTTCGTATGGATATATGTGTAAGCGTGTGTGTGAGTGAATGAAGACACACACCATGTTCTCTGGGGGAATGATTCAACAATGCAAAATGTTGTTTATGCCCAAATTAACACAGAACTACAATGAAGTACTGTGGTAGACACAGAGATGAGCTACCCAGACCCCTTCCCTTCCAGGAAGGACTTGGTGCCCTGTGTGGAGAGTGTGACCTATGCAGACAGCCCTCTCCTATGAGGTGCACCCCTGCTGGGGTGACCCTCATGGGGTGACTGAGCGAGCTGGGTCACAAAGGCCAGGTTCAGCCCAGTGCTGGACAGCTGGGACAGTCACTGCTGTTGGAGTCCCAGAACTTTCTGCTGGATGGCTGAAGTTTTGTGGGGTCTTCACAGCAGATTATTCCCTCTGCCCACTCCTCCTTTCCCCCTTTTCTACAGTTGATCCCTAACAAATAGCTTGTACCCCAACTTCAGTCTCAGTGTTTACTCCTAAACACCTAACCAATAAGAAATAGAAGTCAGAATTCCAAAACACTAATAAAAGCAAAAGAAAACAAACCGGAAACAATATAAATGTCCATCAATAGTGAAATGTTAGTAAACACATTAAGGTGCATATTATGAAATGAAATAAAGATGAGAAATGAATAAAGGATATTTTATGAACGGATGTTGAGAAATTGCCTGATATATTGTTAATTGAATAAAAAAAGCTGATAGCACAACACAATCTCATTTATATGGAAAATATAATCTAAAATTAATTTGCTTCCATTTCTACCTATTTTTTTTTTTGGTGTGTATTGCTGTTAATCCTAACCCGAGGATATTTTTCTATTGATTTTCAGATAGAGTGGAAGGGAGGGAGAGAGAGAAAGAAAGAAACATTGATGTGAGAGAGACACATCAATCTGTTGTCTCCTGAATGACCCTGATTGGGGCCAGGGATGACATCTGCAACCCAGATACATGCCCTTGACTGGGAATCAAACCTGTGAACTTTTGGTCCACAATGCCGATGCTCTAATCACTGAGACAAACTAGTACACGGCTCTTTCTCTACCTTTAAGATGATGCTAAAGTCCCTCTGTGTTATAAGATAGTGTGTATGAGAGATTTACAGTTTCCAGGATTAAATGGAACCCCTTTCCTGAAGACAGTGTGTGTGCAGAGAGCCCAGACCTTGGTGTCGGGCAGCAGCAGGTATGAAGTCTGGCCCTTTGCTTACCAGGGGGATGATCTTGGGCAGGTCATGCAATGGCTCTGAGCCTCAGTCCATCATACAAATGTCTCTCACGGTTCCTTTGGGAACTGAATGGTTAACATGCAGCAAGTGCTGGCCAATCCTATCACAGATGTGATGATCAATAAAAGGTTGTTCCTGTCCCCACTTCCTCCTGTCCCAATCTGGCCAGGAATCCTACTCTCCTCACCTTCTTCCCTTCTTCTGGGTAGAGTGAGGAGAGCTAGGCTAGAGCTGGGAAACCTTGGTGACTGAGACCCCAGAGGAAGTTCAGGTGCCCGGGATTCGGGTGACGATTGAGCAAGAGCAGAGACAAAGGTCCTCTGGACCTGGGTGTGCAATGGTGGAGACACTATCACTGCAGGGAAATTCTGACGCGGAAAAGGAAAGGGGATTTGAAGCTGAGGAGAAACAACAGATGGCACTGGTGACACCTTCTGGTCCAGAATCAACTCCCAAATAATAAAAATGAGGAAGTCAGGGAAGCTGTAAGGAAGGAGACACACCCAGAAGGGGAGCTAAGCTGGCCTCCTATTTAAACCACAAACATGCAGTCTCTGCGTGTGTTCTGATACCATTTACTGCCCACAGTGGAGGAAATGAGTCCCTAGACCATAGACTCCTGGGCTTTCAGACACAGAGACCAGCAGGACTCCAGGCCCTTGTGTGAGTCCTCCATCCCTCACCTCTACCCCACTCTCCAGGGTTTTGTTTATCCAGCTCTGCTCATTGCTGCACAGCGAACCCAAGATCACAGCCTCCAGACTTTGCACAGGTAACTGGGCAGGGGATCTAGTCGAGAGAAAGGGGACAGGGACGGAGTTAGGGGACGCAGGGAGGGCACTGCGGATCTCAAGAGGAACTGAATAGAAGGGATATAAAAAGGCAGCTTGGAGATTTAATGACTGAGTGGAGATTTGACTCTGTTCACTTAGCTGGATTCAGGTTGAAGTAGGGCTGCCAAACCTCAGTCACAAGCTCAGACTCAGAGCCCCCTCTCTAGCCCAATTCCAGCCCCATCTTCAGCCCGCAACCTAGCTGCGGCCCTAACCCAAATAAAATACCAGCTCCTCTTTTAACCTCCAACCATAGTTTCAACCCCAAAGTCAACATGAATCCTAACACCAGCCTCAACCTAAAGTTGACCCTCGACTCTCTTTTCTTCCCAGCATTAGAACAAAGCACAGGCCCCACTCCATCCATGCAATCAACATGGTCCTCAGAACAGCCCTTATGTTAGACCCAGTCTTAAGGATACATTCGGCTCCAACTTGACCTTCACCTTCAAACCCACCATCAACCTTACCACGGCCCAAAGACCAATTCTGACCGAACTTCCAACCTCTGCTGCCAACCTAGGCCCATTCCCCTTCCTATCCTTAACCCCTGGCTCATTCTTCACCTGATCTTCTGTTACCTCAATTCTAAGCCTGACCTCAGCTACAACCGAGTCCCAGCCTCTCCTGTTCCCCAACTCCAGCCCCAGCCTGGTCACTGGCCCTGCCTCTGTTTCAGCTCTGACAGCCTCAGAGTTGGTTCAATCATGTCAAGGAAGTCTGAAGACCTCCAGTGCTTGGAGAGTGAGAAGAAAAGCGCAGGGGCATTAGAAATGGTAAGAAGAAAGGAGAAAGGGTGTCTCCTAAAATACCCTCTTAATACGTTTAGAAGGATTTATGCTGTCAGGGCATATCTGGACTTCTATCATGTGCACAGCTGGGCTTCCCCCACCCAGGGTCAGGCCCCAGCAACTGGTGGTTCCATTATGAAATGCACTCAAGGTCCTGAGAAAGACTAGATCAGGGTAGAGCAAAGCAGTCCTGGCTGCCTATACAGGGGGGAAGGGCTTGAGCATTTGCCCTGAGGGAGTGAATAGTCTGCTTTGGAAAGGAAACATTTGCTAACCTGGCAATATGGATAAGCATAAACCTGCTGACGGCCTGGCTGCCCCAACTCACTCTGTGTCCGCCTGCCCCCTGTTCAGCCCTGATGATAAGACCTTACATATCGCCATGATGTGTCACAAGGGGGGTGAGCTGTCCTTGTGAGTGAGGACTTGTGCTGGTCCAAGAGGGTCAGAGGCTTGGGATCCCCTACACCATAAGCCTGCCCCAGCTTTACCTGCACCAGCCTTCATCCTTGACATGTCCCTGTGGTCCTCTACTTCTCCTGTGTCTCTCCTGTCCTGGATGTCCCTGTCCTGAAGCTCTCTCCTCTTGCAGGGCTGCTTCCTCCCCAAGCCTTCCTGCAGAGTCTCTGCTCCGGACCCCACCTCTTCCTGCTGTCCCTGGCCCTCAGCCTCCTGCTGCTGGTTGGCATCTGTGTGATCGGAACCAAAAGTAAGGAGCACAGGGTGGGCAGAAATGAGGGCAGTGATGATCATGGTGGATAAGGTCACTGCTGGCTCTGTACTTTTTCATAGGTAATGGAATCAGATTACCTAACCTCTCCATGCCTTAGCTTCCTCATCTGGCAGCTTGGGTAACAACAGTGCCTGTCCTTTTGGGTTGGGTGGCTTAGAGGACCCAATGAGACAATGCATGTCAAGTGCCCTGCTCACTGCTGGCACAGAGAGGTCGTGATAAATATCAGCACTCATTGTCCCACCTACTGTGACCAGATTCCAAGATTCAGAGGGACCTGGACACGCTGAGAGCAAATTTCAGCAACTGTTCCTCAAACACTCTGGCTGAGGTCCAGGCACTGCATTCCCAGGGTGAGCATGGCTGGAAGGGGCTCTGGCCTGGATGGGTCCTGGTGGGGGAGGGGCTGAGAGCTGAATCCTGAGCATGACTGAGTCCCCATGTCCTCCAGATGGCAGTTTGCAAGAACAAATAACATCTCTGAAAGCTGTGGTGGAAAACCATGACCAGAAACTGCAAGCAGGTGAGAGACCCTCCAGGAGTGTGTGTGCAGGGGTGGGGGCCAGGCTCTCAGCACAGAGGTGGGGTGGGAGCAGCCTGGGTTGCTGAGTGCCCTCTCTTCCAGTCCGTAGCTTGAATGACAAGGCGCTTTCTCTGGAGACCAAGCTGGAGAAAGAGCAGCAGGAACTCAAAGCAGGTCAGACCCCTTCTCCCCCACACCTGGGCCTGATGTGCAGGGAGGGCATGAAGGGCCCTAGGCTGGGCCCCTGCCTTGTTCCCACTGCCCTCCTATGTGTGTCCCAGGTTATCCTGGAATGGTCCTGAAACTCCAGCAACTTGCCCAAAGCCTGAAATCTCTGAATTGCCAGATTGCTGCACTCAAGAGCAATGGTGAGTGATGTGCAGGGAGCGCCTAGCCCCATATCCTGCCTGTGACCCACTGGGCAGCATCTCAACCCATATCCCCACCCCTACCATTCAGACTCTCAAAATACCTGCTGCCCCATTAACTGGCTGGAGCATGAAGGCAGCTGCTACTGGTTTTCTGGAACTAGATTGACCTGGCATGAGGCTGAGAAGTACTGCCAGCGGGAGAATTCGCACCTGGTCGTCATCAACTCCAGAGAGGAGCAGGTGAGGCAGGAGGAAACCTCTGCCATGCAAACTCTGGGAGGCTGGATCAGGCTTGCTTTGTTGTTTTTGTAATTTAGGGGAGAGCCCAGAAGCACAAGTCTGGCAGAACTCTGGGAGGTTCATAGTGGAGCAGCCAGTGATTCTAAGAGGTGAGAGATGACAGCCAGGAGCTTGGGCAAAGAGGCAGGAGCTAGGTGCGCAGGTGATGAGCCGCAGGTCTGGTGACAGAACACAAGACGGGACAAAGTAAAGAAAGCCAGGGTTTGGGTGGAGAACACAGCGGAGGCACAGGGAGCCCCTTCTTGCTGTGTGCTGGCCTTGGGATGTGGTGGTCAGTTGGATGAAAGGAGCAGGGTGGGCAGGATTCCCAGGGACATGCCTGCCATGGGTCACTGAGTTTCTCCAAGGCGCTCCAGGTGTCCTCTGCTCACTGCCGCCACCAGACCGCAACCCAGACACCAATGTTCACAGGGTAGAACCAACCTGTTAGAATAAGTGGGGCTTCTTCAATTTTTTTTGAAAAGGAGGCCATAAATGAGAACATTTACTGAGTTCTTATTATGTGACAGGCACTTTCACATATATTCATTCCTTTAATCCTCCAAACCCTATGAGGATTATGCCCACTTTGAAGGAGGGAGAGAGGGAGCTAAGGGACAGGGAAGCTATGGGACTTGCTATGCAGCCAGTAAGTCAGGATGGAGCCAGAATTCAGAGCCACTCTGCCTCCTTCGCCAGTTTTTAAAGTACTACATGTTGCCAAAATATACTTTTAGTATTTAAACATATATTCTACTTACAGGGTGGAATAATTATTGAGTTTGCTTTACCAATGAGGTTGAAATGGCCAATTTCACTCTATTTTGACTTTTAAAAATGTCACTTTCATGTGGGCCAGCCTAAGATTTTAGTGCTTGTGAGTTGGCCCACAAGTTCTTGATGACACAACTTCATGGTGGATTGGACTGTCTTTTCATCATTATGACATGAATGTCAGTGTCTGGTTTAATGCTTTGGCTGTGAATTCCTCTTTATGGGTTGTGTTTTCTTATTTAATCAGCTACCCTATGTTTTTTTGATTGGAGCATTTAAGCCATTTACATGTAAGATTATTATTGATAGATACTTATTAGTTGCTATTTTAATTTTATGTCTCTGTTCCTCTCTCCTTCTATTTCTTTTTTCTATCTTTACTGTTGAATGTATTACAGATGTTCCTCATTTTCCCCCCATTGACCCCCTCCTCCCTCCTCCCGTCCCCCTCTTGCCTTTTCCCACACTGTTGTCTGTGTCCATTGGTTATGCATATAAGTTCTTTGGTTTATTTCTTCCCACCTCCCAACCCCCCTCCCTTTGAGGTTTGTCAGTATAGCAACCAGTTTGTACTTCTTAATCCCTTCCCCTTTTTCACCCATTCCCCCAAACCCCTTCCCATCTGGCAACCAACAAAATGTTCTCTGTATCTGTGAGAATGTTTCTGTTCTGCTTGTTCATTTTGTTTGTAGATTCAATGGTCGATAGATATATATTCATTGACATTTTGTTCGTTCGTATTTTTTATCTTTTTCTTCAAGAAGACCCTTCAACACTTCATATAATAACGGTTTGGTGGTGATGAACTCCTTTAGCTTTTCCTTGCCTGGGAAATTCCATATAGCCATTGATTCAAAATGACAGCTTTGCAGGATAGAGTAATCTTGGTTGTAGGTTCTTACTTTTCATCACTCTGAATATTTGTTGCCACCCTTCTGGCCCGCAAAGTTTCTTTTGAGAAATCAGCTGACAGCCTAATGGGAACTCCCTTGTAGCTGCCTTTCTCTTGCTGCCTTTAAGATTCTCTCTTTGTCTTGAACCTTTTGCATTTTGATGATGATGTGTCTTGGTGTGGGCCTCTTGGGGTTCTTCTTGTTTGGGACTCTGTGCTTGGGACTCTGTGCTTTCTGGACTTGTATGTCTGTTTCCTTCACCAAGTTAGGAAAGTTTTCTGCCATTATTGTTTCAAATAGGTTTTTGATTTCTTGTTCTCTCTCTACTCCTTCCGGCACCCCCAAGATGTGAATGTTGGCACGCTTGAAGTTGTCCCAGATTCTCCTTACACTATCCTCATTTTTTTGGATTCTTTTTTCTTTTTGCTGTTCTGATTGGGTGTTTTTTGCTTCCTTATATACCAAATTGATGGTTTGTGTCTTGGCTTTATCTACTCGACTATTGAATCTGTGTAAATTATTCTTTATTTCAGTTAGTGCCTCCTTCAATTCTGACTAGTCCCTTGTGGTCATGGCTGATGCATACCTTCCTCTTCAAGAATTTTTGTAAAATACAACTCAGTTTCAAGGAACCCAGGAGAGGTTCCTTTTTTTAGTGGATGGAGAATTACTGGGTTATAACAGTCCTCCCTGAGGACTGAGGGGTCCCCATCCCATACCAGGTGCCCTGCTCAGGGTTCCAGTGCCAGGAAGAGAAGTCCCCATAACTTCTGGCTGGAAAAACCAGCAGGAACTGAGGCTCAGGGAGGCTCGGGCAGCTGGAGCCCCAGGCAGCTCCTCTTAAAGGGCCTGTGCACGGACTTATTGACTCCCTCTAAGCTTGGAGGGGAAGCAGCTCGAGGGGCACCAGAGACATGCAGGGAAGAACTCAGCTGTTTGGCACTGGAGCGAGGGCTGGAGAGGGGGCTTTCTTCAGGACAGACGTGCAGTCAGAGGCCTTTGTTCCTTTGGTGAGCCCTTCCCTGGGGCGGCAGACAGCCGCCATATCTGGGACTCCAGCAACCTGGCTCACACTGGTTGCCCCGCCCTGGTGATTCTCTGAGGCCCCACCCCACCCCACCCCACCCCACCCCACCCCACTCCACTCCACCCCACTCAACTCAACTTTCAGGCCCACCCAAGCTGTTGCCAGTTGCTTAACCAAGGATTGGCCCGTCTTGGATCCTGCTTTAGGTTTTTCTAAATTCTTTCAAATGAGCAGCATCTGGTCTCAGCTAGCCCCATACCTCTCATTAAGTAATACATAGAAACAAACTTAAGGAGGCAGCCAAAATGAGGATACAAAGAAACAGGTCCCAAATGAAACAACAGAAAAAATCCCCAGGAAAAGAACTAAGCGAAATGGAGATAAGCAACCTAACAGATGCTGAGTTCAAAACACTGCTTATAAGGATGCTCAATGAACTTAGAACCTCAGCAAACTTAGTGAGGGCCTCAAGACCATATAAAAGGACCAGTCAGAATTGAAGGAGGCACTAACTGAAATAAAGAATAATTTACACAGATTCAATAGTCGAGTAGATAAAGCCAAGACGCAAACCGTCAATTTGGAATATAAGGAAGCAAAAAACACCCAATCAGAACAGCAAAAAGAAAAAAGAATCCCAAAAAATGAGGATAGTGTAAGGAGAATCTGGGACAACTTCTCACATGCCAACATTCACAACTTGGGGGTGCCAGAAGGAAATGCTCCTCCTGCTTTTTAATTTTTTTTCTCATTTGTTGCTCTATTTGGGTGTTTTTTTTTCTATGTTGTGTTCTAACTTGCTGATTCAGTCTTAGCTAATATTGAGACCTTCTAAGGTATTTTTCATATCAGCTATGTCATTCTTTATTTCCTCTTAATTTTTATTCATAGCTTCTACCTCTTTTTTAAGCTGATGTAGTTCCCATTGAGCTGTTCATAATTCTTGTTAATTTGCTTGTAGTTCTCACTAAATCGAGCACCTTAAAATTATTGCTTTGAATTCTTTATCTGAAAAATTGCTTTCTTCCATTTCATGTAGTTCTTTTTTTGGTGATTCTCCCTTTTCTTTCATTTGGGTGTTGTTTCTTTGTCTCACCATTTTAGCAGTCTGGTAGTTCTAGGCCCAGTGAGGGATGTTGGAATGTGTACGCAGGTCACTATGTATCAAATAAGGGTTCTGTGCCTTCCAGACTGTTTTGGTGCTTGGCGCCTTTTGCCTGCTGTGGGTCCTGGAGGATTGACAACTGGCACATGGTATTGGTCTGCCATGTGAGGTGCTCCTGGGGTACGTGGGTCCAGCTAGTGTGCTGCAGGGGTCCATGGGTCCCAGTGGTATACTGCTGTGATGTGTAGGTCACAATGGGTCCCTGCTGGAGTGAGGTTCTGTGTGGTGGGTCAAAGGTCCTGATTAGTTGCTGCTGATGCTGCTGGGGGCAAATGTCAGCTCCTGTTTTGTGCTGCTACTGCTGCTGGTGTTGCCAGGGGATGCTCTCAGCTTCCAACTTTGCTGCTGCTGGGGAAGGGGCTCCACTCCAAATCTACTGCTGCAGTTGTCAGAGGTGGGTCTTGGCTGCGTGAGCCTTGCTGCTTCTTGGGCTAGGGCACTGCTCCTGATCAGCCTCTGCTGATGCTGCTGGGGATGGGTCTAAGCTGCTGATCTGTGCTTCTGCTGCCTGGGTCCTGATTAGTTGCTGCTGATGCTGCAACTAGCTTTGTGTTGGTTGGGAGATGGGAAGGGGATGGATGTCCGCTTCTGAGCCTCCAGTACTGCAGGTCTGTCTCAGCTCCTGAGCTTCAGCTGCTGTTCTCATTTATTTATTTTTTTATTTTATTTTTATTTTTTTAATTTTTTATTTTTTTCCAAATCTTTATTGTTGGATGTAAAATGTATTACAGATGTTCCACATTTTTCCCCCATTGACCCCCTCCTCCCCACTCTTGTCCCCCTCCCACCTTTTCCCACACTATTGTCTGTGTCCATTGGTTATGCATATAAGTTCTTTGGTTTATTTCTTCCCACCCCCCCAACCCCTTTCCCTTTGAGGTTTGTCAGTCTAGCAATGAATTTGTGCTTCTTAATCCCTTCACCTTTTTCACCCATTCTCCCAACCGCCTTCCCAACTGGCAACCAACAAAATGTTCTCTGTATCTATGAGAATGTTTCTGTTCTTCCTGTTCATTTTGTTTGTAGATTCCATTGTTGATAGATATGTATTCATTGCCATTTTGTTTGTTCATATATTTTATCTTTTTCTTCAAAAAGACCC